GTCTGACTTGAATGAGAAATGGAGCATCTACCTCTGCACCCTTTCAACACTGAACACCAGTATACATTACAAACACATATTACATACTACTGAATCACTGAAAATGACTAAAACCTATTGAAGGTAAAAATCTGGACACAAGCAGCACAGCCTAGCAGTGCTTTCTCAGTCTGGCTTGACAATCTCACGCTTCAGTTCAGCTTTCTGTATCCTGTCTCAATTTCACACAGGCTAATTGACTGGACCAGTAGCATCATGCTCTCTCTTAGGAGAGCACAAAGGGTTAGTTCATTTATGATTAAAGTTAATTTTTTAATTCTTTCTTTACTATGTTCTTGTCTCCCAGCAAAGCCTATTACCAGTGTGACACTATGGAGAAGGGCTGAGGAGCGCTTATCCTGTGGTGTGAATTCATAACAGCTTCTGTTTCCCTCTGACATACCAGCTTAAGCGTGGCTCCTTTCCTTACAGGCCTCTGCTAATCCTCTGGCTTCACACTCACTCTGCTCCCAGCTCGACCTGTCTGCCCAAGAGCAGAGTCCCCACAACCGACGCTGCTACCTCCCCCGACTGCTCTCACACACTGGACTCCGCAGAAGGACCCCAGCCTAAACTTGGTTTAATTTTAACCGATGCTCCTTCCTGTGCTGCTGTGCCAGAGCCCCTCTGGGGCTGCTGCTTTTGGAGCAGCTGGATGGAAAGAGGTGAGGTGAGGGGGAAGGGTAGGAAAGAGGAGACAGGAAAGATAAATACAATTGCTTTTTGTCTCTAAAACCCTCTTTTTAACCCAACGAGCATCTCATCCAATGAAGCATGATAAGCATGAAGTGTTATATAAAGAAGATAATTATAAAGGGATTTAATGCTTGGCAGGCTCGCAGTGCAAGGTTCAGAGTGGAGGTAGCATACTCACTTCAACAGCCTTGTATCCGGGTTTGCTATTATGCCGGCAGTGCGGCCGGGGACAAGCGGAATCAGAAACAAGATTTGTTTTACAAAAAACAAGAGCACAGCCCCCTTCCCACTGAGGATGGCAGCTCCAGTCCCACCTCCTTCCACTTCTGTCCCATCCCTGATTAATGATGTTGTCTGCCTGATTTATGACCCACCCCAACAGATTAGAGTTTCCCTCTTCAACCTCCCCCCCTTTCACCCCTCCCAGAAGGCACAGCCACACTCCGCTGGAAATATTAGAGAATTATTAAATAAACATTCATACGTCATGTCTCTTCCCATACTGAGCTCATCGTAGTCAACGCTCAGCGGCCGGGTCCTGTTTGCTTTGGGGCTGACACCAAACAGCTGGAGTGATTCATGGAGAGGCTGGCTACAATGCTCTGTGCCATATATCATGCTCGCAGCGCTCCCTGCCCCGGCGGAGATAAACTGATCAACCACAACGGGCTGGAATGAATTTATGACAACACAAAATTGAGGAAAACAAATGGGAGGTGACCCAGTGGGCCACTAACCCAGACTCTCTCGCTGGCCTGCAATCTAGTCTGGTGGCAGAAAGCAAAATTGAACATTGGCACTCTGAATTAAGATGCTGGCTTTTAACCCCGGGGAACCTCGGTTTCAAAATGGCACCAGACCCTCACAGGCAGCATATCTTGGGAGGGAGAAGGGAGGAACCCTTTTTGTGGAGAGGGTGCTTTTTGCAGCTCTCGTATGCAACAGTGCTTCCACTGAGTATGATGTTGGCAGAGGAATTGGGGAAGATGCCTGAGCAATTAGGGACCAGCTGCTGTCTCTGAGAAAAGCTGCATCTCAAGTTGAGGTAAAAGAGTGTCACACCAGGTGAGCTTTGCTTTGGCAGTGGCTGGGATCTTCAGCAGACAGGCACCGCTCAGTTGGTGTGAAGCTCACTCACCTCTCCCCGTGAGCCTTCAGCACCCCAGGATGTCTCTCAGACACGCCATATCGGTGAGACCAGAACAGCTCAGCATGGCTGAGACACCCCATACTGCTGGGAAGGAGAGCTGGAGCAGCACCATGTCTCTAGTTACCTGTGGCTGCCATCTGAAGCTCAAGACAGATGAGACCAACTTGCCCAAGCTACTGATGACCCGGCATGGTACAAGGAGTGTGGCAACAAATACAGACTTACCCCAAGCCCCCCCTAGTCATTCTACATGCAAGAGACTAGCCAATAAAAATCCAAGTTTAAACTAAATTAACTTGCTCAAGCAAAGAATTTCAGCTGTGTGCCAAAAGGAAGATTGCTTGCTGTACTGTATTAATGGGTTAAAACCCAAACAAAACCACACTGCTCCCTTTGCCTGGACTTATTTTTTGGAAGAGGGGAGGAAGGAACATCATTCTTTTGAGAGAAGGATCAATAGGCAGATCTCTGCTAACTCTATTAGCCACTGCTCTAAACGGAGAGCACAGCTGACACAGGTGCTAAGCCATGTGCTTCTGGACAATTTAAAAAATGCTAATCAGGTGCTACACAAGGTTTAACATGCCAATCAATAATGCTCAGATTTAAAGGCAAAAATTGAAGTTATAAACAATGGAGTAAAGTGATGCTGCCAAAAACTTCCTGTAAGCACCACCCAAAACAAGAAAAATGAAACCAATTTAGCTCCAGATTAAGAAACAGGAACTACAGATGAATCAATTTAGCCTGTTGGGCTGGGTCGCCATATATCATGGCTCAGCAGTGGAGTGGGAAGCAGCCAGACAGTGCAAAACCCTTCCCCCTCCTTTTCTGTAGGCTTCTAGCTCTGATCCCTGTTATCAATTAATTTAGCAGAACCCCTCTACACAGACAAGCACACAGAGCATTCAGACTCCTTAAATGGCAGGACAGAAACTATTTATCACACATGAATCTCAAAGGAAAGGAAAGAGAAAAAAAAAAGGCATCTAGGAATTCTCTACCTGAAACACCATCTTGTCTTCTGAACCTCAGTGAAATAAAGCACCCTAAATAAAAAGATCTCCCTGCTACTTTCAAAAATTATCATTATTGGAAAGATCGATCAAGACATTTAAGGCATGTGCTGTAATTTCTATTGGGTTTCGCTGACTTGTAGCACAACTGAAGCCTTAGTGGGGCAAGGTTATTGCAGAGTAAAGTGTGCATACATGTGCACACACATACACACTCTCCCCACTTCACAGTGGTGTTAGCACAAGTGTTGTTTGGAAAGGATTCTGGGATCCTTCAAAAGGTGCTAGCTAAAGCCTCTTTGATCAGATTATTAAAGCTATGTCAATTTTATCACTTGAGCTCAAGTGTTCTGGAAAATGTCAAATCCTTTCAGCTCTTGCAGTTTAAAGATTTTCAATAGGAGTGGATCTGGGAGGGTGGAAGGCTGCTGGACTGGCAGGAGGGAGGCCCAAAGGGAAGCCAAGCACCAGCTGAGACAGAGACTGACAGATTAGGGCAGAAGGGGTAAGTCCTCGCCACCAAGAACAGCATGCAATGGTTGGCTTACTCTAAGGACAAAGCTGTTTCTGCACTGACCTGCAAGCTCCCTAACTCAGTGGTCCTTGGCCAAAGACCGCTCACTGAGAAGCATGGAACGGCAGACAGCCAACACTTGGGACATGCTAACAAAAAGGCTTGTAAAAAGGAAAGTGCCGAGACAGCAGAGCAGAGTTGAAGTTTCCTCTGCAGCAGGGAGTTTTCCCAGTTAACCCCTGACCGTGAACATATGCTCTGCCAGGCTGCCTGAACTGTCAGAGACTGTGAAATGTGCCAAGGACACAACCTTTCAAGTAAGTACCAGGGGTAGAAGGAGAAAAAACCAACTTTCTGTAAAGTCAGCTTAATGCTACCACCAGATTTTTCTCCATCCCAAATTATCCATGGACCTCACTCCCAAAATGTAAATGCTGTCTGTTTAAAACCCAGCATTACCTCACTGCTTCCACCTCATTCAAGCCATTTTGTTTCTCACTTGATCTTGAGGCAACATTTTATGTCAGGCAATAACCAACTAAAAACACTGCCCCATCCCAACTAATGCAGTTCACGGCAGCGGAGAAGAGCCTGTAGTTTTAGTACTGGATCATCAAATCTGCCCAAGCAGTAAGTCACCCTAGCAGCAGTGGAAGGAAGCTGAGGATAGAGGTTGCTACTCAAATGAACAATGCAGATAAACCCGTTTATTTCTATCTCAGACTAGACTGCAGGTATCTAGTGAACAGCAAGGGGCAGCAAGGGAGATGCCCAGGAGCCCCTGCACTACTGCATGTTCAAACACTGGGACTTAAACGTCTGAGTCACTGCAAGGTCTGCAGGTAAAACATCTCCGGAACTGAGACATTATTTCTTTTAGCCACCATACAAAGGTGCAATACGGATATTAAGGAAAAAGGAATTCTCTCAGTGAGGCTTCTGGGAAGTTAAATGCTGCTGGAGAGACCTCCCTTTTGCTAGAGAGACCGAGGTGGAACATGCAGATACCATGGAGAAAAATGAATACAGACCATGTGAAAGACTGCACTCAAGAAACAATGATAAGGTAACTTCTCCAGTAAAAGCAGGATCTCATGACACATTGACAGCAGAAATCTTGCAGGGGGAATTGAAAAGATCAAAGTACAGCTTGACAAGCCAATTGCTTTTGTCAGGTTAAAGTAGGTTTTGAACTTTCACCTCCCGTCCAAACTTCCAGTTCTAGTCCAGGCTGTCAAGCGACACAAAATGTAACTAGAATACGGTTGAAAGCATCAATATATCTATTTACATATTTTAAAAGTAGACAACTCGCAGTGGAGAAGCCCTTTAGTAGCTGTGCCCAATTCCTTGTCACTGGGTACCTGCCCACACAGATACGTGGTGAACTCCCCACAGGCCCTCTGTGAACACAGTGGTGGCAAGTAATCCAAGATGAGGCTTCATGCTGGAGCATGGTTTCCCTTCTCAGTGGTAAAATCTTTATATATGCCTACCCTCCAATTACCATTACTCCTGGGAGAACCAGATGGGACACTGTGGTTTTTAAAACAAGAAAACCAAAAGCTATCCACTTCACACTCACTTTTCAATGTCACTGTTCTTACAGGTCTTCTGCATGGTCTCCTGTTTACTGCTTTCACCATTACTCGTTGAGGGCATTTCTGTTGAGGAAAGAACAGAAAAATTAGTAAGAGAACATTTGATCATTGCAATGAAACAGTCTTATCAAGTTTCAGAAGCAGCAGACTACGATGAGTCATTTTTATGTCAATTCTCAGATGCTACGTGCTACTGTCTGGCAGGGGAGGTCTCTCTCTGGACAGCATGCTACTATGATTCTGAGCTGATGCTACAACCCCTACCCCCTGTCCACTTCATACTAACTGACCCTCACAGATGTACCAGCTGTTTAAGCCAGAGGTCTAATGTGGCTGTCATGTGAAAGTGTACTTCTAGAAATGTGGATCTGGAGCAAATCCACCCAGATTAGACCCTGCCCTCAGCTTTTCCTTTTTACTGAGACCCCTCAGACACAAGCAGAAAAAAATATGCCAGGTAACTAGTATGACAGAACAGTCTGCTTCATGGCTCTTTCCAGCACTGGAGAGGGTGTGAGACATCAGTTAGAGATGAGACAGAAGAACTGTCCTGGGGCCAGTCCCTGGGCTGTAGGTTCAGCACTGTGGCTTCAGGTAAAAGGTATGAAGAAAACAGCTTATTGCATGTGTCATCAGGGCTGCCTCCTCATGATCTCTGCAGCTGTAGCTATTGAAGCTGATCATACCTACAAGCGAGTGCTCCTACATCACAGAAAATAAATGTGATTGCCTATCCCACAGAAGAAAATGCCTGCGATAGATATCCTATGTTCTCCATTTAACTGTCATGCCCTTGGCAAAACTGGTTCTACTCATACCCTCTCCCACTGGCAAGCCATTATGTCTTGTAGGTACTTTCAAGGCTGGGAATCAAATGCCCAGAGCATGACAATAACAGAACAGGGAACAAAATCATTGGGACAAGTCTCTTCAGGTCGCTGAGCTTCAGTTCCCTTCCTAAGGGAGCTGGAGCAGCACTGCCCAGCTCTGGAAATGGATTTGGCATCTACATCTGGAAAACGCCAGGTTTTATTATTCTCATATTTCCACTAGGTTGCTGCTTACACTTCCAGTGCTGCGGGCATTAAATAAAAAACCCCAGCAGTTGAATGGGTGTAACACTTCCCTCTTTCTCCTTAATGCTATGAGCTTTCAAGTAATGCATGCAAAGGTACATATTCACATTAACTTGTTTGCTCTGGAGTCTCAACTACATGTTACGAAGTAGGACAGATCCTAGAGTTCCCCTCTAAAGGTGCAGGCATCAGAGCCACAGGCTTCACCTGCCATACAGAGGCCAGCAAGGACAAGATCTACCTAAAAGATCACTACACAAGTCTCTAGCATACCCTTTCAAAGAAGGGAAGATAAGAAAGCAGTTGAAAAAAACCCGAACTAGTGCACCTGTGTAGTTTAAAACCCCAGCAGCTGAACACCACCATCACACAGTTAGGCTCTGCTGGTTCCCTCTGTAATACAGCAGTTTGCCTTTCAGTGACACAACAGCAAAGTCAATCCAACCCCGATCTCTTATCACCATACCAGTTAAGGTGGCACTTTTGGGAACTTCCCCAGCTGCCGCTGACTACAATTAATTGTGCTGTAAAGTTTCAAAGAGATAGTGTGACTGTAGGTGCATACATATCTGATGACGCTCAGCAAGAGCGTTACTAACTACCTCGCCTAAGTACTGGCAAGCAGAAGATATGGAATATCTACCTGCCCTCCTGTAGCACACAAATTAATAATTTACATGTTCAACACTCACCGTCGCTGGCCCATTTAGAAAACTCCGGTGTTATTCGAGTACTGGGTGTGCCACCACTAAAAGAAAAAAAGGCAGAAGGCTAAAGGTAGAATATGGAAAATTTTACTGCTTGGGAAAAGCTAGTCCTTCCACCCACCACTTCTCTCAATACTTCTGTCACTCTAGACTTCCAAAATGTGAGCAGCTGCAGGATGTTTTTGTTCTCCACATTTCTACCAGTGTTCTCCCAACCTGCACTTCCAGCTGCGACCTCTGCAGAATCCCATGGGGGTTGTGATGCTGACTAAAGGCTTGGGATTCAAACAGCATGTGTGACATAAGGCTAATTTTTGAATACACAGTTTCAAAGATGAAGGCCCTACTTGTAAATAGAAACCCACCATGAAGCTTCTTCTCCCTTTAAGAATAACTTCACACCTTCGTAAGCCCCATCTTTTCCCTCTTCCCATTTGAAAAACAACAACACTGAAGTACAGACAACTCCTAAACCTGTCCACTCATTTGCAAGCTTGTAACAGAGACTGTAAGAGAAAGGAATCTTCTGAGCAGACTGCACACTTGTGACTATAGGACATTTTAGCTCTATGTGCCAAGACAGTTGCATTCAAAAAGTAACACAGGCTCAAGCTTCATGGCATCAGCTACACTACTGCATTTGTACAGAACCTCACCAGAATTTCAATGTGCTTTTGCAAGCAACATCACCTCTCCAGTTTTAGAGATGGGCAAACAAGTCCAGGAAACACATGAGGACCTTGCCCAAACATCAAAACAACGCTTTAGGTGGAAGCCACATGTAGGAATTGTGTCTCCTGGCCTCAGGTCCTCAAGTAGTCTCAACAAACACTAAGTGTCCAAAGCCCACAGTATCCTCCTGCTCCAATACCACAGTCCTGGCTGTGAAGGAGCTTCAGTATCTTTGAGGCCCTGCCTTTGGACTAGCATGGTTAGCAAAGTATTGAATGGACCAGAGGTTTGGATCCAGTGTGGTGAATGCCACATTTCTGTGGAGTGGAACCTAATTTTGAACTAGTGTTTGCGACAGGCTAAGCAGTAAGAAAACTTCATTTCACAGCTCTATCAATCACTTCCACCTTGACCTTATAGGATCACTCAGTCAAAGAGATAGAGGGGTAATTTAAGTCCTGTTTTATGCAGGGCAGAGGGCTCAGAAAGCAATCCTAGCTCCCTGTTAAGACTCATTTTATTTGCCTGGAATGCTTCCCCAAGTGCCCTGAATGCTGGCTGCTTACATTCTCCACATATGTGTGTGGGCAGAGCACACATCCTGCCCCAATCCAGAGCTGACTACAGAAGGATTAGTTTGCACTCCCCACCCACCATGTAATGGGATGCAATGAAATCACACCTGGGATGTCAGACTCTACTGTGCCAAACAAGATTAGGATGACATCACACTCTACTACAAAGAGGCCGCATTACATCATGAAGCATGATATTTCCCCATCACCATCTTCTGTCCAGCACTGTTCAGGGTGAAGATGGGCAGTGGGGTGGCTCAGGGAGGGACAGTGTAAATGGAGGGTTTATTGAGGTTGCACAGGTAGAAATGGAGACCCACCCATCACACTATGCTTCTTCCTAAGTCTCTCACTGCAACCCTTGCACTCAAATGAACAGGTGTTTTCCACAAACTGAGATTCCCCCAAAGGAATTTAGAAAGGCAGGACACTTACTTTAAAACAGCACCTCGCAGCGCCTCCCTCTCTTTGGCTTCACCTGGCTCTTCTCCAGTGCAAGGGATTACGTCTGCCTCTGTGTACCTGAGCACAAAGAGTTAAGGAACATACAGCCTTGCTACAGACAGTGCAAGGGTTTTTGAGATGGTTAGGACACTATCTGGGATATAGAACAAATTCATTCCAACTGGGAATGCCTCAAAAGAAGAGGGGCTGGGATCCATGAAGAGGCTTGCTTTTAAATTCTGGATTAAAGTTTTGGTTTAGGTGGAAAGAAATGGAAAAGCCTTTTGACAGCAACATGATGCCACAGCCTCTTAGAAGGGGAAAATCAATTTCTCAACCCCTGCAAGCCTAATCTGAACAATTCCACTCTGTTTGAGCTACAGAGATCTTTTACCAGTGAAGGGTTGGGCCTTCAATCTCACAGGCTGGTACAGATTTCAATAAAACCTAATTCTATAGCTATACATTGCTCCTCATCACAGCTAGGGCAGTGTCTGCCTAATACTCTTGCAGAAATTTCTTCTTGATGTTACAGCTGCCGTGGGGCAGAAGTCTGCCCACAGCTCTCCAAGAGCTGTGTCTGAAGAGCCTGGCTCACAGGTGGAGAAGTTCCCAAAAACTGTCCTTAATGATAGTTCTGCCCATGAGGTGTCTAATGAATGGACAAAAAAAAATCATAATCAGTTTCTCAGAGTGGAATGTGAATAGTGCTTAATGCATAAAACCCATAAAACAAAGGGGTGTCTCATGAAAATAAACTCAATTCCTACCCATGAAGCACGAAAAGCTATTCATATGGAAGAAACCTGGATGAAGACAACAGATTGCTTATGAAATAGAATAGAGAAGCACCAACTGATCTCTTCCAATATCTCCTGTAGTACTGCCTCAACAGAAGGATCTCAAAGGAAGTAACTGGGAATCCCTCCTAGTTCAAATAACATGGTAACTGGAGAAGGCTGTGTCATTTCCAGCAGGACTGCACACAGTTATCCACAGCTTCCCAGGGCAGTGTTGTATAAAAGGTAGCTGCAGATGCACCCTCTGAGTTCCCTCTCAATAAGAGCCTTTCAAAAACGATACTGTGGTTTCCCATATTCAAGTGTGTCGTCTCCATCCACATCCAGGTCAGCATCGCTGTCTGGATTCTCCTTGCCGCTGCACATGATAAACCCAGAACCTGAAAGAAAATAAAACACACGGATAAGCATTAGAATTGGAGATGAAGTGCAGGAGATCTCTCAAGAATGGTGCTACAGCGTCAGTCTGCAGGCTGTCCTTTACTCTTAGCAGCCTCATAAAAGGTACTATCTGCAAAGCCTGCACAAGAACACTCACAGAAATGCTCTAACTTCTAAACTTCATGCTGTAAAATGTCCCCAACACTAAAACCGAAACATTCCTGACCTTTAGCTCTCCATATGAGTTATTTTAAAACTGAAGGCATTAGAAGCGTCTCTCAAAGGCAGAAAAAAAATGAAGCTAAACAGGGAAGACTAATTTTTTGCAGAAGTAGTTAACAAAAACTACACCACTAGCAGGTAAGAGAAGGAATTAGTCCTTAATTCAGATGCAGGGGGTAGGCAGAGGATCTAATACAATTAGAAACATCTTTTTCTTTTAAAAATGCATTTAGTTGTGGCTTAGTTTTTTACAATCCAAAATATTTAAAACAGCAAAGCTGTTTCTAGGGGAGGGAAAAAGTATCAGACTTCACAGTCATTAACAGCTCCTTTACGAATATTTCTTGTAAGAGCAAATTCCAATGCAACTCATCAAGAGTTCTGCTCTTCCAGCACAGGTGGGTCAGATGTCCAAACCCAGCTCCAGCAGGAAGCAAGCATTTACAGTTCCACCTGAGACTGACTGTGCAACAATTGCCATTTTCTAACAATTTATACATTTATTTTGGTTCTCAAGCATTTTGTTGACTCTGTTACTGCAAACTCTAACCAGGTTTCTTTTAATTGAATCTGCACAAGCACCTACAGATATGAAGGTTTATTAACAGAAGGGAAACTAAGGAAGACATGTATTTACTCTTTATCAGAGCTAACACTGGATATGTTCTCTCCCATGAGACTGGACATGAAGCAAAGATCTCCTGAACTCCAGGGTGTTGCAAGGTCCTCATGTGTGTTCAGTTCTGCTGCAGAACTAAGCTGTTTCAGGAGATAAGGAGCTGTACTAGATGATCCTCAAGGGTCCCTTCCAGCTCTGATTATTCTGTGATAAGCCATGCACACAGAAAGTTGCTCACACAGCGGCCTTCAGTACTTCTTCACTTAGCAAACCCTGTCCAGACAGCAGAGCTGGACACCTAACTCAGAGGTATCTGCTGGAGCCCAAAGAATCTGGCACATCCAGATGGCTGGTGACCTAAGTCTGTGATAGACCAGGGAGTACATCCCAGCTTCAAACACTGAAAAGAATAAGGTAAATGTTGGCTTGGCCTTGCACAAATGTCCCAAAAAGGGTACAATTCCTGCACTGTGAATGTGGTTCTAAATGCAGAATACTGGCTAAAATTATTGTAGAAGCACTGAGTACTATAAGCATATCTGAAGAATGAAGACATTTCAAAGCATTAGGATAGACTTTTTAGTGCTACATATGACTGAGTCTGTTCATGCCACTGGGCTCTCACCAGCACATTTACACAAGCTCAGAAGAGCGAACCGTATTTCTAAGTCTGCATTGTGCAGAGAGCCAGGCAAGGCGAAGGCCTCATTTCCAAGGACATTGTGCAGACACAGCTCTTTACTGTCCCTCTCCAGGAATGGATGCTCTCACTGATTCATTAAGCCCTCAATAAAATTTGTTGATATGGATTTGATATTTCTCTTCCCTGAATATCAAGAAGGTCCTTAACGAGTGATAACTGTGGCATGACAATGATTTTAAGACTAACCTTTCCCTAGAAGCACAAACTACCTTTTTTACTTCAAAGCAATTACCAGCCTTAATTTTTAGCAAAGGTAACAGCACTAGCACCAACAATACAGCATCCATATCTGTGCCAGGTATCATGCTTGTAGGTCAGCCCTGGTGCCACTGGGGCGGCCCTGTTCCAGCAGATCCGTTACAGAGTGTTTCACACACGGGCTGCACACTGCCAGCCAACACGTGTCAGTGAACTGCCTCCTCTTGCTGCAATGGCTCATCTAGTAAATCTTGACTCATTCAGTTCATCACAATGTTTGGGAGAAGATTTAGAGGAGTAAGGGAGACCTGTCAAAGAAGCTGGATAGTCTTTCAAAGCTGCTTTAAAAGTCAAGAGTGGGTGATGGGACAGTAATTTATAGGCATGGCATTTAACCTGCAGTAACACCATCCCCTGCACCTGGCATTACTTTAGCCCATCACTTCTCGAAGGCCATAAACTTTGGACACATAGGTCTTAATTTTTCTTGTGGCTGTGGGAAACACAAATCATGCAAAGCTGGAGCTGTGACTTGGCTAGTCCCAGAGGGTGATCTGAATGCTAGCCAGACAATGAATGCTTGGAGCAAGTGCCTTGGTCGGGGGGAAGGTGGCCAGAAGAGTGAACGTAAGTGGGACCACTCACTATGTCACTCTCTCTGCAAGGATGCCAAGCACACAGCAAACACGCACCTTTCCATCAATTTTGTTTCCAAGTGACTCAAACCAACTAGTGCTTTATGGCTAGAGCTTAAGACAAGAAGATCTGCTTACTGTGATACAGTTTACAAATATTAAGGCACCTTAACTTCAGAATCCTGGTGTCCTTGCTCTCAAAACCTTTGTACTTAAGAAAATCCCTTTTAAGTCTGAAAGAAAAACACTCCAGAGCTTTTGCTATATCTAGCTCTATAATAGGAACCACTGCCTTGCCAACAGAGTACTATGCTCCTTATGCAGGGAAGGTTCAAGGGGAAGGGTTTGGACAGTATGTGCTACAATGGCAAATACACTGGGATGATCTTTTAGTCAGAGGAGGGCACAGCAGAGAAGTTCACAGGTTAAGATCAGGGGCAGGAGAAGAGTAATTTTTCTTTCCTGATCCAACAAGGACTCCCAGATGCCTAAATGAAGCCACAGTAAGGTGATCCAACTCTCAGTTTTTCACTAAATACAGATATATTTTTCTTTTTAACATGACTGAATGCAGTCCATTGCAACTCGGTAAAAAGAACTGATTCAGAAACTGCATGCTAAACAAAGTAACTTCTGCGAACCCAGAAAATACTCTGAATATAAGCTGTGCTATCAGTTTTAGGACTTCAGAAGGTGCTTTAAAAAAAGGAAAAACGAAAGTCACAAAATACATTTCTGATGCAAATCAAAAGGTCCATAAACCCCAGTACTGCCCCTGCATGTAAATGAACACCAAAGAACAGGATGCAAAGCTCAGCCCAGCATCACCTGTGGAATGAACAGCCTGCCACCAGCATCCTAATGCCCTTTCATCTGCAGCGGTGATGGATTTTGAGGCCAGTTCCAGTGGGATGGGGTTTGGTGCCACAATTTCGACCTGACCCTCCTTGTCTAACTTCCTGGGGTTGCTTCCATGCACAAAGCCAGTGAAAACACCCACACAGCTGTTCAAATATTTGACGTCTGAACTGCTTGACATTATTCATTCATCTCAGGCTCATTCAAACCAGATTTCTGGACAAGTGCTGTTATAAATGGATTAAGAGGACCACTAAAAGCAAGGAAGGCCCAAAAGGAATCACACCTGCTTCTCACTAACTCAGCCCAAATGTAAAGAGGGCTCACAACTTCCAGCTCCTGCGGTGGTGTATGTTCCCATCCAGGAGCAAGGAAAATGTGAAATGGAGTGCAGAGGGTGTTGCAGAGCAGAACAAAATGGCCTTTGCAACAGCATTGTTTTGGACCTACGGGAGGAGAACAGGAGCTTCCAGAAGACCCCCTACCACTACACTTGGGTGATTTGCAATTCAATAGCATGCACTGGGAACAGGGAAGGGTTTCTCCAGCAAGGCTCAGCTCCTAAAGGTCATGCAGTAATTCACAGCCATCAGCGACACACCCTAGAGCAGACTTCTAAAGCCAGTGCTGCTATCCAGAGGTCAATGCTCAGGACCAGAACTTTATCCCCACCTGTTAATAACGTGAAATCTGACAACTGAATGTTACGTTGTAAGTTTGACCTAGGAATTCATAAGAAACATGATCTGTTATTTGGAGAAGCAGCTGTGACTCGTAGGAGTCACTCAAGGCCTGAAGAACGTAATTCCACATGTGAATTTGAAAACACTGCTTGTAGACGCAAAAAGGACAAACCCAGTGCATACTCTCTTATACCTTTCCCGTTCCTTGCTGAAGAATTTTTTGCTCTTGCTGTGCATTTGGTAGGAGGCAACCACTTGTCATACACTGCCAGCCCCGATGCAATTAGCCTTCTGATGCTAAAGCAGCAGCACAATTCTCTGACAGTCTTAATCCCAGCTGCCTCCTTAAGGTCCAGACAAACAGGAGTGAGCAGGCAGGTCAGACGCCAGGGCCATTAAGCAGAGAAAAAACAAAGTTACAGCTCTGTCTCCAATCCCCATTGCTCTTGTAGCCAGGTGCTCTGACAAGCAATTCCAGCACTGGTATTGAGTGGCACCTCTATAAACCCTGTGACAGTTTGGGAGACAAACTCGCCCATCAATCAGAATGTACCTATCAACATCACTTACCTAGCACTGTGTACACAGCTTTCTTTGCTCGGGCTGGCCTCTGAGCAGTCTGCCTAAACACCAACTCAAGGCAGTTTCTGAAAAATTTAGGTACTCTACACAAGCCACAGTGTTTCTGAAATACTGACTGAGAGGTATGAAAAAAGCAGAAAAATTCACATGCCTCTTCACCACCACCAGCTGCAAGCACTGGCAGGCTACAGGAATCAGCTGAGCTTGAAGGAGAAAACACTTCCTGCTTTTTCCATATGCCTGTTGATAATGGCTGGCAATAAATCTCACCAGAAATCTTTTCCTTCCTCTTTTTGTAAGTTGTCATAGCACTTTTCTTTCTCCTAAGTCGTCCCCTATGCCTTAGCATCCTCTCTGACACTGCTTGTCAAATCCCACTTCTTTAGGCAATTTCCCTGATGACCCGTCACCTCAACATCTCTCAAGTGAATGGTGGCCCAGGCTAAGATTGAGAGTCATTAACATGATATATAAGCAGATTCACAGAGCAGATAAAAGG